AATTTATCTTTATATTCTGAACATTTTAACAGGCCATTCACAATTTTTGGACATTGAAGTTGTTTCAGCTTTTCTTCTTTTTTAAAAAAAATTTCAGCTTTATTGACGTATAATTGACACATAAGATTGTAAGCTATTTAAGGTGTACCTCCTGATGATTTGATAGATGTCTACATTGTGAAAGGATTCTCCCCACCCCATTAATTAACACATCCATCACCTCATGTGTTTATCTTTTTTAATGAGAACATTTAAGTTCTACTTTCTTAGCAAATTCAGTTGTACAATACAGTGTTATCAACTACAGTCATCGTGTTTTACACTAGATCCTGAGACCTTATTCATCTCATTGCTGAAAGTTTGTACCCTTTTATCAACCTCTCCCTGTTTCCTCCTCCCCATTTCAGGTTCTTTCTATAATAGATACAACTATGAAGATCACATTTGCCCAGCATCTTTGTTCACATTCTAGAAATTATTTCCTTTGGCTAGATTCTTAGAAGTGGAATTACTCAGGAAAGGTTTTGATCATTTTTAAGGCTTTTAAAACATATTGATAACTTATTTTCCAGAAACATACCAATTCTTTCTCCTATCATAAAAAGCAAGAGTGGCAACTTTCTACAGTTTCACCAGTTCTGAATATTATTGCTTGAAAATCTTGGCTGAATTGCTGGATGAAAAATGGTATACATTTATTTTAATTTGCATTTCTTTGCTTATAGTGAGGGTGAACATTTTTAAGCCCTTCATATTCTTTTTCCTTGAATTGTGTGTTTATATCCCTTGTCCAACCTCTTTTGAAATTTAGTGTTTTCCTTGTTGATTTATATAAACTCTCTATGTAATTTGGATATTACTACTTTGCCCATTATATTGAGGACAAATATTTTCCCAGTTTGCTGTTGGCCTTTTAATTTGGATTTTGATTTTTTCTGAAAATTTTTTATATTTTCATGTAATTAAATTTGTTGCTGTTTTCCTGTGAATTTTAGCTCCAGAAACTTCTTACAGAAACCAGATAAATGTTTAACTAGTTTCTTATTTCTGTGTGTTTAAAAAGATATCTAGTTATTTACTTCTGAAAATTATTTTGCTTTCTGATATGAAGTAAATATCTAAAATATTTTTTCTGTATTTTAATTTTTATACTTTATTTTGAATATTTGGGGTTAATAGTAACTTTTTGAATGCCGACTACTATACAAAGCACTCGATGTATTTTTTCTGAGTTTGTCTTCACAATAAACTTACGAAGTAGTTAATGTACCTACAGATGAGAAAACTACGACTGAGTGAGGTTACATGACTTGCCCAAGTTTAGAGAACAAACAAGTAGCAGGGCTAGAATTTGAACCCAC